TTCATCAAAATTTATAAAATTTAATTCTTGGAACTTTTTTAATTATTAAATTTAATGATAAAACTGGAAACATTGGTTTACTTACAATAAAAATCTAATTTAGTGTTGAATAACTCGAAATATATTAGATATTAAAATCGTAACAGAAATTTTTTAAAGTCCGAAACTCTCTCGTAATGATCCACTTCTATATGATTTATGTGTGTATACATCTTAAATGCTTTATTAAGCATATATAAATCATCATCTTTAAAAGAATGTGAAAATTATTTATTTTTCTTTTAGCTTAATCGAAATACCCAAAACATAACTAATTCTAATTAAAGATTTGATTTAGCATTTTGGTCACATTTGATTTGTTTATGAGACCATAAAAGAAGTAAAATAAGGGTAAATTTGGCAGTTACTTGTATGTACTTCAATAAAAACGATCTACCCGATTACCTTCAAGAAGAAAATAAAAGTCCTGAAAGACATAGCTAAGAAATAAACATATTGTAAGTATATCAAGAGATTTAAACTATCGTCACAATAATTATTAAATATAAAAAAAATACTCTAGTGAAATTTTTAAATGCAAATGAGTGCTGTTATCAATTTAACGAAGAAGAAAACTTAATTAGCTATAAGAATTGTAGGACGTAATTGAATAAAATAAAAACAATTTTAAAAATTTAATTGAGATTTTTCTGTTTTAGTTTACACTTTGTTTTTGCTTACTTTTAAGCAGAATTTTTTACTTATTTTTTTTAATAATCGCTGGAAAAAGTTGTTAAACATTTAATGAAATTTCAACTAATGATGGCCATTAACGTTAATTAATTAATTTTATAAATTTATTATTATAAATTATAATAAACAGCCTTAAATTAAATTTATACAACAGTAACAACAGTACATTAATCAGTATATTAGTGCAGATTTTGTATTAGTAATGTAATGTTATATTTTTGTGTATACAAAATCAAATAAATATGCCCGGTACAACCAGTAACAATGTACTTTTCAAATTCATGTAAAATATATTTATAATTAAAATTATATATTTAACATTATCATAAATTTACCTTTCGAATGCAGATGCATGAGTTCCATAACTAAGTTCAGAAGGTAGAAGAATATTTTGAACTTCTTCGGGCACATTCTCTAATTTAGGATTCCAAAAATATGTATTTCGATTGAAGAAAACAACCAAATGTATAATTCTATAATTTTTGATGAAAAAATGATGAGAAGTGATTGAAAGACTTTGGCTTCTATTTTCATCCCAATGTATTTCTCTAAAATCTAGAGATTTCTCTTTATAATAGCGATATCCCAAATGCTCAAATAAGGAGACCACATTATCCTAAAACAAAATATGTCATTTTTAATTGTTATGAACGAAAATAAAACAATAAAATTTTAGATTGAAAATTATATTTTATAAATTATAAGAATAAGCTCTTAAAGCAGTAAATGAATAATAGAATTCTGTCAATTTGACGTTAATAAATTTAAAATAAAGCCAATTTGGCGTGTTAGTTATGGCATATGAATCAGTTTTGTCGCATCATTGATGCGTTCAATTTTGGCGTACGTCAATATAACTAACATTGGGTTTTTCACTGTCAGTTTAGTAGAAGTCTGTTGGCATGCTTTATGTATACAAGTAGAATAGAAGAGATCTTTATAAGAAGTGCAGATGTATTACCAGAATACCTATGACTCACATAAGAAGTGTATTAGCTATTAGTGATTTTCTATTCTTGTTAATCTGTATAATCATTACAACGGATATAATTCCAAATTAAATAACAAATGATGTATTATTACTAATAAAAAAAAAAGTTAATAGAAATATGATAATTTTTTAGAAAATAGAGTTTGTTCGTTGTATAAATAAATAATAAATTTTATAAATATTTATAGGAAATTTGCTAATATTTATAGACAAAATCATCAAGTTGGAGAAGTTTATTGACTTAACAACGATTAGAATGCCAGTTTCTTTAATGCAGATTGATTATTGCTTCTTGATTATTTAGTTTGACACTTCAACCGGATCATTTGATTTAAAACTATTCTTTTGAAATGATTTATCAAATGAATAAAATTAATCTAAGTACTTACAAACAAACAACAGATCAGTGTAACAGCATAACTATACAAATTTATAAATGTTTAACTTACAAAAATCAGAAAAAAAAATTTAAATGTGACGACATATTTCATTTTTTAGAATAATAACATTGTCATGTACGTGATTCGGAATCGTTCGTACAATATTTACTGCAGTTAAGAAAAGAGAGTTAAAACAACTATAAAACATAAATAATACATGTAAAAAATTATAACGTGCAGAGAGATTTTCTAATCTTACATTTTCATTAATCACAAATATAATTATAAAAAATGTATATAATAAGAAAATATATAACTTTGTGAATGTCACGTTAAAACAACTATCAATACCAACAAAACAATACATTAATACTTTTTAAAAAAAAGTCAGAATCGACTTTACATAGAAATATTTAAAAATGTTGAAAATGTATATTAAGCCAACATCTCTGCTCATCAAATAATAATAATAAACACTACATTAAAATAAATTTCTGTATCAATCTTTAATAACAATGAAGCTTTGTTCTTAAACAATCAAAATTTATCTTAAAATGTTTGCAAAGCGTTAACTTTTATCTACAATTACCTCTATTATCATATCTTATTTGCAATTATTTTTCGAAATTAGCAGAGAAATTCCTTTCTTCTCTACAAATTATATTTTATAACTCGCGAAACTATTCAAAAATTTCAGTTTGTTGTTTTAAAAACGAACTCTGTCTTTAATGCAAAAATATGCCATTGAAATACACATTCAATTTTTTGGATTTTGAAATTCAAAAAATATAATGAGTTTGTCATCGTAATTAATTAAGTTTCTCTATTAAATATAACTATTAGAATAGAAAATATCATTAAGAACTTGTAAACTTTAATAATGCCGAGTAGCTAGTAATTAGTACTCACATAGATTAGTTAAATTGACATAAGCCAAATTAATAGATTAGCTTACGGTCACAATAAATAAAAGCATTGGAAAATTACACTAAAATAAATATGAACTTTGTAAAATATAAACTCAAAATAATTTTAATTTATTAAATTGTTAACTTACATTTATACTATTAGAACTATTTTCAAAAATTCCATAACTAGTTATGTTAAAGCGTTCATAAAAATGCTTCGTTCTAACTTCTCTTTTTTCTAAAATTTTTAAATCATCTTCATTCAAAAAATATAATAGAAGACGTGGTTCGATTAGAAAAACTTGAATTCCACTGTCCTGTAATGTTTTTAGGAAAGTTAAATCTATCTGCTGAATTTCTGCTTGGACGATTTTCTGGAGTTCCTAAAAGTCAAAAGAAAAAAAAAATATATAATAATAGTTAAATCCTAAAGAAGAAGAAAAAAATAAAATAAAAATTAATGTGAACGAGAAGCGATAAAAATCAGCATTAAACATTTTATAAATTTTTAATTAGAGAAATGTGGGTGCCGGTTCGATCAATATTCATATTAATAGGGTCTTGCAGATAATATACACAGATGTGATTCATCAAGTATATCACAAAAATCTCTAATTAAACTTGAGTGTGTTTCTTTGTAATCACGTACATGGCAATTTTTATGATATATAACCCATGAGTTTTTATCAACTTGTGGATCGAAAATCATCAATTAAGCTATAGGAAATTTAATCCGTTCAAAAAATAAAATTATCGGTTAGTTTTGTTAAATATACAATATTACTTCGCGTGTAATATTTTGTACTTCTGCCCTAACGAAATTGTTTTATCGATTCGAACTGCAGATTATAGTCATAAACGTAAGTGTCTTTCTATGTTACAATGAATAAATTAGCAGTTAGAACTATTTAAATATGTATAAATTATAATTTAGTAAAACTATTATTGTTGAAATAATTAAATATTTTAGCCTTTTTGAACGTATTTAGTCAACAAATATTATAATTGTTGAGTAAAGTATAGTTGGAAATTTAGATAGGAAGTCTCGTATTTGCTAATCATTATATGTGATCCGTTGTAAATGAAATGTTAATACAAAAGTTACTCTGAAACTAATAATCATGCTTTCATCTCACTTGAATACGAACAAAATGCAATTATAGAAAATGAATTCATATACATTTATGAAATTGTTGATTGTCTTAATAACATTTTAGGTAATACACAGAGCGTAAAATCATCTAAAATTATTCTGACAATGCCCTGATGTTCAAATTTTTATAAAATATCTGGCGAGTTAGCAGCTAACTTTATTGATTAATATTATGTTTGCTTGGTTTTGTTTGCTCATTTTTAGAACAATTATCGACGATTTTTTTTGTTGTTGGTTTTCTTTTGTTTTTTGGAACATATCAATACATTGAAAAATAACGCCTAGAATTATTAAAACAACTTCAATTTTCGAAGATAAAGTTTCACAATTAAAAATTTGCAAAGGAAATTTACATAAATATGAATATAAAGTTTGTAAAGTTATTATAGCTCTTTCCATATTTTCCTATAATAATTTATTTACTTTCTATACTTTTTATTAAACGCGTTTATTTTTATGTTTAATTTTCTATTTTTTACGCAAAAAATTATAAAATCAACTATGTCGGCTTTATGCGTCAATAAAATTTATTGTTTTATTATTAATTTTTAATTTCGCTTATCGAAAATAAGATAAAATTTATTAAAAACTATATAAAAAAACATTAAAATTATAAATGTATTATAAAATTTATTTGATTTTCTTTAAACGATACGTAACTGTTTTATTATATTCCAGAATAAAGGGGATAAAGCTTAAATCCATAAAAATGCATTAGAATTTTTTTTAATATACAGAAAACAGTTCTATCCATCCTTTAAAATAATTTTTAACTAATATTATTTGATAGGAGATTTAAATAAAAAATTATTAAGTTACGAATTATTAATTTATATCACGTAACTGAATTTTAATTACTTCCTGAATTGAAAGTAATGAATAAAAATGCAGGTATAATAAATTTTAAATATATGGGTAAACGTGATTACTAAAAATTATCTACGTAATTTTTAAAATGCGTTGTATTTTTATTTAATATATTAAAAAGTTAATTTATCTATTTAAGCTTTAAAATGAGTAATATGTAATAGAGTTCATTTCAAACGTTTAAAGTTCACCATTTTAATGATTAAAAACAGACCTTAATATTATTTTATTTTATTTTTAAGATATTTTTTGTGTGAAATGCATTATAAATTTAGGATCTTTAATATGAAAAGCCTATTTTTATATTTTGTTTATTGATGAAATTTTAAAACTGACGTATTTGGCAATTGACCAAATCGTTGTTAAACTTCTTTAATGTTTAATAAAAATGTTTTATTCGATTAAAAATATATGATTCGAAGAAATGTCATTAATTAGTTATTGTCCTCTTCAATATAACATAAATAATAACCATCGACTTTTATGGAGTTTCATAAAATTTGCTCATCTTTTAAAGTGAAAGTGATGCTTTAAATCATGTTTACTATTTCATTTTATTATAAACGAAAATTCTTTATATCTTAAACAAAGCACTTAAAAATGTATAGGTTTATTATTATTATTATTATTATTTTATTTTTGATTAGTGTCATATTATGGACAACAGTAGACTAAATTCTTTTCATTTTAAAAACTTTCGAAAGCAATTAATTTCGTCGTAATTTTATATTTATTTTTAATAAAATAAATTGCTTGTTCTAAAAATTAAGATATTTTAAATTACGAATTGTTAAAATTTAAAATAAAAATAATTTTATATATATTTAAAATATTTACCGATATTTACGATTAGAATTAAAAGTGAATTAAATTTCCTTTAAGTTTAATTAAAATTTTACAATAATTTAGTTTTAAATAAAACATTAAAATTCAAATTATCTTCATTCGTAAAAATTCGTAATTTGGAAGCTTTCATTCAATTTATTTTCATCAAAAAATAAGAAAAATTAAAAATTAAAACTCTCGAATACGAATCATTTTTACACTGAAACATTAATTTTCATTATTGATCGAGGGGGAAGAAGATTCAAACATAACTTGTACATTTACTTCAAATATACTAGATTCTCTATATTAAGAATGATTTTTTTTTTTAAACGACTAATGCGCTTGTCTAAAGGTAATTCTCAAATTCATATTTCATGTAGGCTACACAAACCTGAAAAAAATGGAAAATTATGTAAGAAATGTTTCTAATATATATAATAGATATTAACGTACAATGTAACAAATACCGTAATTCTAGAATTTTTCATTAATAATCATTATTGCTAGGGAGAGAAATCCGTTGTTTAATTCTAAAAGAAATTATTAGAGTAAATGCATAGATGCTTTTTTTTTTAAAAAATGTTTAGATCTAATTTATAAAATTCATAAAAATTATATATACAAGGTCTGTTCAAAAAGTATCGGACCTTCGGTCGGCAAAAATAAATTTATTGACTTTGAGGTACAAAACCCTAATCCCCTTCAAAGTAGTCTCCTTGGTAATGTATACACTTCTCCCAGCGTTCCTGCCATTGCTGGAAACACTGCTGGAACGCATTTTCTGGAATGGCCATCAGCCGGTCCGTCGCATTTCGCACGATGTCTTCTCTCGACTAAATTTGGGTTCCTTTTAGCGGCATTTTCAGCTTGAGAAATAGCCAAAGGTCACACGGAGCCATGTG